GGGCTGAGCCCGCAAGGGGCGCGCCCCGAGCGCGGCAGCACCATGCCCCGCAAGGTGGGCACGGGAGCGGGGTGCCTCGGGGGTTGGGGAGGAGGTGCGGGGATGTGCGGGCACCGTGGGGCAAGGGGATGAGGGATGGGACGGGAATAGGGACACGGGGAAGAGGGACATGGGGGTGATGGATGGGATGGGATGGGATGGGATGGGATGGGATGGGATGGGATGGGATGGGATGGGATGGGATGGGATGGGATGGGATGGGATGGGATGGGANTGGGATGGGATGGGATGGGATGGGATGGGATGGGATGGGATGGGATGGGATGGGATGGGATGGGATGGGATGGGATGGGATGGGATGGGATGGGACAGACCGGGAGCGGGGTGCCTCGGGGGTCAAGGAGGAGGTGCGGGGATGTGGGGACACTGTGGGACAAGGGGGTGAGGGTTGGGATGGGAATAGGGATACGAGGCAGAGGGACATGGGGGCGAGGCGATGGGATGGGATATTGGATGTGATGGGATGGGAATGGGGCAGGGTGGGGCAGAGAGACATGGGGGCAATGGGATGGGATACAGGATGGGATGGGATGTGGGATGCAATAGGATGGGATAGGATGGGAATAGCAACAGGATGGCCAGAGGGACATGGGGGTGATGGGATCGGATGGGATATTGGATGGGATGGGATGGGCTAGGATGGGAATAATGACAGGATGGGGCAGAGGGACATGGGGATGATGGGGTGGGATATGGGATGGGATGCGGGATGGGATGGGATACAGGATGTGATGGGATGGGAATAGCGACAGGATGGGCCAGAGTGGCATAGGAAGGACATAGGACAGCGACAGGGGGACTTGGAGCACGGAGACAAAGGAATATGGGATGGCAGTATGGAGCAGAGTGCTGGGATCTGGGCAGGCTGTGGATGTGGGAGTCAGGGAGTTGTGAGGGATGCTGGTGCCCAGAGGAGGTGCCACGGGTGTTGTTGCTGTCCCCGGGAGGTGACAGGGTGACACGTTGTCCCCCCAGCGCTTCAGCATGGAGGGCATCTCCAGCATCCTGCACTCCGGCCTGCGCCAGACTTTTGGTCCTACCACCAACGAGAAGCAGGTGCCTTCCCCCCCTCCAAAAAACAAAATTGCCCAAATCTGTTTTCACTCCTCTCTGCACTCCCCATTCCCCTGCATTCCCCAACCCCTTGTTAAAAATCTTTCTTCACTTTACAAAACTGCTCCATCCCCTACTTCCTGCTAATCCCTCTTGAAAAAATTACCTGTTTTCACCCCGAAAGGTCCTCCCTGAGGAGGGATGGATTTGGGTGGAGTTTGCAGCACCCAGTTAGTTCAGTACTCCCCGTAATACCTGCAAATTAAATACAATTGCAGGAATTTTGCAGAAATACTCTATTTTTGCATAAATTTGCCTTAAGACAATGCAAAAACCAGGCAGTTTTGTGCCATCTGAGTTTTTTGGGGTGGCTTTTGTTTTTGCAGTACCTGAACACAGTGATTCCCTACGAGAAGAAGGGCTCACCACCCTCTGTTGAGGACCTGCAGATGCTCACCAACAGTGAGTATTCATTCAAGCAGCTTTTTTTGTGTCAGCATCACATGTTTTGGGGACACAAAGGCACATTTTGTTTTGCTTCAGTGGCTGCAGTTTGGGATATCATTGCAGCACAAAAGTTTAGGGGAATTTCTGCATCATTGCAGCACGGGCAGTTTAAGGTGCTGCCACCCACGCTGCATCATCATTGCAGCAAACCCACCTGGTGAGGAAAATCCCTGTTTTGCATCACTGCAGCACAGCTGGTTGGCAGCCAACACCTCCCCCCAGTTTATGCTCCATTTACCAGGAGGTCTGGGGTAAATCACCCATTCTGCACTGCCACAGACTGGCTACCTGGGGATGGAAGTCCTTTTTGTGTGGGTGTTCCCAGGCCTGCTGCATAAATTGTGTGGGGAAATTGTGTGGCAACTGTGGGGCTGGTTTTGGAGGGAAAAGGGACATTTTGGGGGCAGCAGGGCCAGGCTCACAGGTTTGTTCTCCTTCCCAGTCCTGTTTGCTATGAAGGAGGGGAATGAGAAGGTGCCCACTCTGCTCACGGATTACATCCTCAAAGGTACCTGCACCCCTCGTGCATCCTTCACACAGCTCCTCTGCAGATCCCTTCTGCATCCTCCTGCCTCTCCACTGCATCCTTTGTGCATCCTTTGCCCATCCCTGTTGCATCTCCTGTGCATCCTCGAGGAATCCCAGATACATCCTGTGGCATTCCTCCTGCATCCCTCCTGCATCTCTGCTGCATCCTCCACACATCCTGCAGGGATCCTGGCTGCATTTCCTGCACATCCCTCAGGCATTCTTTGTACAGCTCTCCTCTCCTGAGACAGCTGTCTGTCTCACAGGCACCTCTGGAGGTACCTGTGCAGCTTCCTGCCCCATCCTTCATCCACACAGCCTCATCACCCTCTGTGTGCCCTCCTTCACCCCCCATGCCCCAGCAGGCACCCTCCTCTGCCTCCCTTGGGCATCCCCATGCATCTTCTTGCATCTCCTGGGCATCCCTGGGCATCTCCCACACCCCTCTTGTGCATCCTTGTGCATCCTGCCGAGTCCTGGTGCGTCCTTCATGCTTTTCCTGTGCACTGCTGTGTGTGTGCATTCCTTGTGCATCCCTTTTGTGCTCCTCCTGCATTCATGTGCAGCCTCGTGCAGCGTTTCTGCATCCTTGTGTGCCCAGGTGCCTCATTTGCCCTCCTGCATGTCCCTGTGTGTGTCCTTGTGCTCTCCTGCCTGTCCTGTGCACACTCGTGTGTCCCTGTGTGGCCCCCAGGCACCCTTGGGTGCCCCTGCCCATCCACGTGCAGCCCAGTGCAGGCCTGTGAGTCACTGTGCCCCCTCGTGCAGCGTTGCACTGTGCATTTTTGTGCATCCCCATGCATGCTTGTGCATCCTCCAGCATCCTTCTACACCCCTGTACATGCTCATGGATCCCTGTGCATTCTCCTGAATCCCTGTGCATCCTCCTGTATTCCAATGCATCCTCCTGCATTCCTGTGCATCCTCTTGCATTCCAATGCATCCTCATGCATCCTTCTGCACACCTGTGCCTGTTCATGCATCCCTCTGCATCCTCCTGCATCCCTGTGTATCCTTCTGCATCCCTGTGCATCCCTATGCATTCTCCTGCATGCCAATGCATCCTCCTGCATCCCTGTGCATCCTCCTGCATCCTTGTGAATCCTCCTGCATCCCTGTGCATCCTCCTGTATTCTTGTGCATCCTCCTGCATCCCTGTGCATTCTCCTGCATGCCAATGCATTCTCCTGCATCCTTGTGAATACTCATGCTTCCCTGTGCATCCTCCCGCATCCCTGTGCATCCTCTTGCATTCCAATGCATCCTCATGCATCCTTGTGCATCCCTGTGCCTGCTCATGCATCCCTCTGCATCCTCCTGCATCCTTGTGAATCCTTCTGCATCCCTGTGCATCCTCCTGTATTCCAATGCATCCTCCTGCATCCCTGTGCATCCTTCTGTATTCCAATGCATCCTCCTGCATCCCTGTGCATCCTCCTGTATTCTTGTGCATCCTCTTGCATTCCAATGCATCCTCATGCATCCTTGTGCACCCCTCTGCATCCTCCTGCATCCCTGTGCATCCCTATGCATTCTCCTGCATGCCAGTGCATCCTCCTGCATCCCTGTGCATCCTCCTGCATTCCAATGCACCCCCATGCTTCCCCACACACCCCACACACCCCTGTGCATGCTCCTGCCTCACTGCACCCCGGGTGCCCCCGTGCAGTGCCCCAGCCCCTCTGTCTCTCTCTCTCTCTCTGCAGTGCTCTGCCCGACCTGACGCGGTGCTGCCCCCACACTCCCACCCCAAAACGGGGCCAAACCCCAGGAAAAAGGGTCACCCACCCGTGGCTGCCCCTCCCTGCACTTCCCCCTTTGCACAGCTGGGAATAAAGAATTCCTTACATTAATTAGGCAACCGGTGTCCAGTGTCTGTGTCTCCTGCTTTGCAATTTTTTGATAGGAAAAGGATGTTTTTAAGCAAAAAAATCCCAGCGTAGACTTAGCTGATGAATATTCTGGGATCTCTAAAAAACACAAATGTCTGGCTAACGAGCAGCTGCCACCAGCAGAGGGGCAAAATTCAGATTACATTTCCATTCTCGGGGATTTTTCACATTTCTGTGGCCCAATTTTCTGCTACAAATTGTGCAAACATCACCCAGAAGATCAACCCATTATTAAGGAATGGCTCATTAAGGGACAGGGGGGCTTCCATCACTTCCACGTGGGGAAGAATTGCTGTGTTTTGGGGATTGTCACTCATTTTGGATAAGAGTGCCTAATTTGGGGGTTGGTGCTCGTTTCTGCAGAGCGTTGTCCACTTTGAGGCAAATTCAGTCATTTTGGGGAGGTCACTTATTTTGAGGAGAGTCACTCACTTCCAGAAGGAGCAGTTTGGGACAGCTTCCTTTGGGGGCATGTCACTCATTTTTGTGGGAGAATTTTTGGAGAATACAACTCCTTTTGCAGTGAGCACCCATTTTGGGGGAGAATCACTCATTTCAGGGAGAGATTAGCCCCTTTTGGGTCATCACTGGATTCTGAGCATCCCTCACTTCTGGAAACCATCACTCATTTTGGGGTTGTCTGGAACACTTTGGGGGAGCTTCTGGGGGAGAATCACTTGGTTTTGGAGAACACAGCTGATTTTGGGGTGTGCATCATTCATCAGTGGGCAAAATCTCATTGGAGCTTGTTTGAGGGGGAAAATTTTAATTTTTGGTGGACCATCAGTTTTGGAAGTATAAATCTAATTATCTCCACATCACTCAATTACCAGTTTGGGTCCATCCACCCATTTTGGGGGTCAATTAGTTTTATGAGGGGAATTTTGCCCATTTTGGGGGGTTATTCCTGCATTTTGGGTCTTCTCCACTCAAAGGAAGAAGCTGCCAAGAAAATACAGGTGCGACCCCTCATCTTGTAGCACTTTATAATAAATGGCCAGGAATTAATACTAAATTACAATGAATCCTTTATGAAATTACAGATTACATTCACGCCAGATCAGTATCCAAAATTAGGCATTTCTGCCCATTGCATCACTTCTGTTTTTAATCCCAGCTCTTGTTCAGGTTCTTTTGTCAACTCTTCAAGAGCCAGGAGAAAAAAATGACAATATGGGCAAAAAGCCACCAAGAAAATGATCCTTCTCCTAGAATCTCACATTTAGAGCAGGAACCTGCAGAAGACAATTCCTTTATTTTTGCCCTGGTTTGCTTTTGCATTTCCTCCCATGCCACATTTTAAGGCGAATACACCCTTTTGCTAGCACTCAAAATAAAAAAAAACCCAAAATACAGGGTTTTTGGCAGGTGCCCTCCCCCTCGGGGCTAAAGCTCCACCATTTTGCCATGTGGAGGGACAATACCAGGGAGAACTCATCTTTTAAGCAATAATACTTAGTTTCCTTCCACCCAGGCAAGTCTTGCGCATCGCCATTCGATTTTGGGTGAAATCTTGCATTTTTTAAACCAATTTTTTTCCCCATTTTTAACTAACTCTGTGCCAAAATGCCTTGGAAAAGTTTTACTCCCGGCAGCCTTTGCCCCAGCTCTGCTTCCAATCTCGGCCCTTAAGGACGAGAATGAGGTGAGTCGGATTTTTTCCAGATTCAGCAGAGGTTTTAGCACATAAATTAAAGGATTTGGAGGAATTTCCTCCTTTTTCCAGAAAGTTGTGTCCAGAATCACCAAGCAGCCTCAGCATCAGGGCCAAAGTTGGGAGGTTTGGGCAATCCCATGAGTCGAGCACCAAACCCTCCTTGGATATAGCAGAATTTGCACTCGCTGATTATTTTTCTTCCCCCTCCATGCCAGTATTTATGCCTGTGAATGACCTTTCTGGGGGAAAAATCCAAAAAAAGCATCAAGTCCTGGGGTTGGTTTGGCTTTTCTTTGCACCAAGAAATCCAAGGGATGGACGCAGTGGCACACCCACCACTGCCCAACAGCATCCGAGCGTCACGTGGGGAAAACAACTTCCCCTAAAAATGCTTTTGCTTACCAAAAAAAAAAGAATGGAAAAAGAAAAATAAAACCTGAAATAAAAGATTATTCTGGCCACAATATGTGCCTTGTAAACGTGTGTCCTTCACTGCCGTGCGCTGCCGTGGTGGTCCCCGCGCTCCTGGGGGCAGCCAGGGCCTCTGCCAGCGCTGCCAGTTTGCTTTTTTCTCACTAATTTCTTCTTCTTGCCTTTATTTTTTTGCATTTCAGGGAGAATTTTGTATCTGGTGCTCAGACAATGATTTGGGAGGGTGCAGGAGGAGCTATTCCAGTGAGTCACTGTGGTCCAAACCAAGGTCAGCACCAGGTGCTGCTGGGAGGCCACCAGGCTCTTCCTCCAGCTCTTCCTCCTCTTCCTCCTCCTCCTCCATCTCGTCCTCGTCCTCCTCATCCTCCTCCTCTTCCTCAGTGCCATCCAGGGAGTCGTCATGGGCTGCCAGCATCGCCTGCTGCATGGCCATGGTGGCAGTGGCTGACGAGAGGGGTTGGAGGTTGTCCATGCTGAGCGAGCCTGGAATTAAAAGTACAGAAATAAGGATTCCCCAGCTAATGCAGAAAGGATGAAAGAAGTGCATAAACCAAGAATAACTCAAGTGAAAAGCTTGGAGAGCTTCAGCCATAGGGTGTCCCACATACCCCAGTCACACCCTGAGGTCCAATCCTTAATTTTTTGAGCTAATGCATTGTTAAATAACAAGAAACATCAGTTCTGAGCAAGTAGATGCCCAGATTAATTGGGCAGATCTTCTCTTCATCTTCTCTCAAGTCCTACCTTTCCTTCTCTTCATCTCGTCTGATGGATGTTCATTTCTGCTCTCTTCATCTTCTCTCTTCATTGCCCTCATCTGTTCTCTGTTCATCATCTTCTCTGTTCTTCTCTTCATTTTCATCACCTATTTTCTCTTCATCTTCTCTCTTCCCATTTTGTCTCAACCTGTCTTCTCATCTCCATCTTCCCATGTCTCCCCTCCCTTCCCCAGCTCCTCAGGAGCTGACCCAAGCCATGCCCCACAGTGGGTGATCATCATCCTGGTGGCCACCTGGAAGGACCTTGCTTGGGCCACCTCTTGCGTTTCCCCACAGAAACACAAGAGGTGGTCATTTTCTCTAGAAAACACAGGTAATTTTCTCTAGAAATCACCAATTAAGGCCATAATTAATGCATGGCCACTCCTTCCTGGAAGGGCAGGGCCGCTGGGGCTCGTCCTTACCATCAGGATTTGTGGCTGCGTTGCCGCCCTGCTGCTGCAGGACGCCGGCGGCGATGGAGTTGGGCCAGAAGCGCTGCGTGGGCCGGTGCTGGGATTTGATTTTCTTGGCTTTGGGGGCTGGGTCCGGGTTGCTGGCATCCAGCATCGGCTGCAGGATGCGCCGCCGGGCGTTGATGAACCTGCCCGTGCAAGAGAGAGAGAGCAGTGGCATGAGTAAGAGTCGTCACAGCAACACGGAGTTTAAACAACGTTATAGCAAATCAATGGGTTGCAATATAATAGTAATACTTTAACAAAGCAGCTTTGTGGTTCAAAAAGCTGGGGTTTTTATTTGCCTGTGGCACATTTTATCTCTGCATTAGTCTTTCCTGCTGAGTTGGGAGAATGCTGCACATTGGATTTGCCAGGAGAGGGCACTGAGACCTTGCAAACCAGTGCTGGCACTAAACCCAGCTGAGCTCATCTCCCAGAAACCCCAGAGCCACAAAATCACAGAATATGCTGAGCTGGAAGGACTCACCAGGATCACCGAGTCCAGCTCCTGGCCCTGTGCAGGACACCCCAAGATTCATCTTTAACCACCCAAGTTACCCCCCCAAAAGCATTATACAGCACCAAAAGAGGGTGAAAAAGGTCCTAAAGCCAGCAAAATGACTGAGTGGGCCACCAGGATCTGCTCACCAGTTGTTGACTTGCAAAAGGGTCAGGTTGGTTTGGGCGGCGATTTGCCTCTTCTCATCCTCTGTGGGGTAGGGGTGCTGGAAAAAAAGAGAGATGGGGTAGCAAGATTGCATCCCTGCATGCAAGATGTCATCCCTGAGTGAAAAATAACGAAAACCTGCCTTTGTTTTTTTTTCCCCCACCCTAAATTTGGTGGCTCCTTGCATTTGCTGAATGCAAGATTGAAGGGCGGCATTCAAGAGCATCAAGATTTCCTTGGGCGCATTTAGGGCTTTCCATCAAATGCTTTCCTTGAAGGAAAAATGTTCTTGGGTTTTTTTCTTCAACTCTAGCAATTTTCCAGTGATGGTTGTTGGTAAACATGAGATTTGTGCTTCAGAAGCTGCTTTTTGCTGCTTTATTGTCAGAGGCATCAATGAAACACCCTGAAACATCTGCACTGGGAACCACCAGCACCGAGAGCTTCAGCAACCTCCTTCCAAGTGTGCTAAAATGCTCCTTTCCAACCCCAGAAATGAAATTATTATCAAAGCAGGCCCACATGCCATGCTTTGGAGCCCCAAACCAGTGACAATTACCATGACCTGTTTTTCAGCTCTTAGCCCCCAAAACCGTGATTGCCTTGAAAACACCACCCAAAGTCAATGCACATGAAAATTCACTTCTCACTGGGGTCTCGGTGGATAAAAATGGCATTTTTGGGGCAGAAATACCCTGGTTTTGTTGTGTTAATTTCAGCATTCTTTCCTCCTGATGGTGCTCCAAAACTTCCAGTAAAATGATGAGCATTTTTGGTTAAAAACTGCATCATCTCTGACACCAATGGAGAAATCTCATGGGGAAACACAAATTTCTTATGACCACAAAGACAGGGCTGTGAGCAAAGGTCCAAGCATCCAGCAGAAGAATTTTTTTCAGTTTTTCAATTTTGTTTTGGAAATCTTAAACTAACTGACGTTCTCCTGTCACCTGGAAGAAAATTGCTTTGCAGTTTCAGATCTTTTAAGTCATTTTTGAGTCTGCAAATCTGCAGTTGTGCCCTCCAGAAACACAAGAGATACACGACACAGCTACATTCTTGTCCTCATAGCAATAAATCCTGAATTTTCCATAGGAAAAAAAAAGGCTGGGAAGTTCCCAACCTGCTGCTGCTTCATGTCCTGGCTGATTTTTCCACGAGTTCCTCCATGGAGCTGTTACCTTCTGCATTACTGGTGCCCTGGGGATCTCCCAGCACTCAGTCTTCCTGGAGAGCCAGTCTTTGCAACCAGTTTCCAAGTGATTTCTTGGCTGAATTATGCAGGAAAAAATGTGGGATTTTTGGCTTTTCGCCCTTCTTCCAGCCCTGCTGATGAGAGAGAGCTCTTCATGCACAAAAATATCCAGTTTCCATCTAAGCTCTCTCCATCTTCCATCTCCAATCCCCCAAAACAGGGTGATTTTGCAATTCTGTGTTTTGACTGGTGCCTGATGTGCTGCAACCCTACCTGTGAGCAGCTCTCACATTCCAGCTTGCTAGAAAAGGATATTTTTGGAGCTGTTAACTGCAAAAAAATGCTCAATAATCCATCTTAAAAAAAAAAAAAAAATCAATCACAGGAGTCCCCTTCTAGATTTGTGTGCTTCTTCTTGCCTTAAGGGAATATTTTTTCCCACCTGCAGTGACAACGGTCATTCCCAAAATACTCCCAAAATACAAACCGCTGTGCAACTCCAAACAGAAATTCAGACAAACCACCACCTGGATTTGAGAATTTCTGGACTTTCTGTCCTTTTTTTCCCCATCTTTCAGGGTGTTTTGGTGGCTGTGGGGCTCACCATGAGATGCTGGAAGAGCCATGAGCGCATGATGTTGGTGGCGTGTTTGGGCAGGACTCCCCGTTTGTTCTTGGATTTCTTGTCCTCACCATCAAGGAGGGAGGTGAGATCCAGGTTCACCTGCCAGGGGAAAAGGAATGGGGAGAGAACTGCCTGAAAATGGTGACAGACAACCAAAAAAAAAAGAGCAAAACCAACCCAAAATGGGAGTGGGATGAGTAAAAAAAAACAAAAAACTGGCACTTATAGGAGCATCCAAAACCCATTTCCTGCTCCACCAAATCGGCAAAAATGCAGATTTTTCTCCCAGGATCTGTATTTTTTTATCTCCATTTTTTTTTTTGGTCAATGCTTTGCAAGGGGTAATGGCACTGATGGGGTGTGCAGTGATGACACCATGGCCAATTTCAATGTGTGCTTTAGGAGGAAAACACTTTTACCTGAAAAAATAAAGTAAAAAAAGCCCTAAACCTCATAAAAAGATTATTTTCTCAACTGAAAGTGAAAAAAACGCCCTGCCACTCACCAATCCCTTGCAAACCCATGCTCCTCACCCAGCTGATTTCCACCACAAAATCGAGCCAAAACTTGCTTTTTGCCCCGAGAAATGAGAAAGAAGCATCTTTGCTGCAAGAGGAGTTTTAATGAGGACACAGGAACCAAACTGAAATCTAAGCACTCGAGTTAAAAAGGGATTTTTTTTTTCCCCAAGTCTTCATCAAAACACTTCTCCTGGATGAATTAAACATCAGGCTAGCAGGTCCCTGTGATTCCCCAGGGCTCCAGCTGAATAAATCATGCCAGTGGCACAGGAAGAGCATCCGAAGGTGCTTGTCCAGGCTCTCTCCCTGCCCCAAGATTCCCTGTGCACATGTTTTTCCCACCACAGAGGGTTTTGCTGCAAGATTTAAACCTGCAATGGAGAGATATTATAGAAAGAAAAATTTTAAGCATTGCACAGGCGAAAAAAAACCTGCCAGGGAGGTGCCTTTTCAAAATGCTGCCTATTGATTGTTTCGTAAGAGGCTCCTGCAATTAAAATGGGGCATTTCAGGAATAATGGGGGTGAATTTCTGCTGCCCTGCCCCCGGGAAGCAGTGTTAGAGAAATTTATGTTTTTTTTTTTTTCCAAATTCCTGGGGTTGGGAAGAGCTCATGGACAAGCTGTGCTAATAAATCCAGCTCTGCTCCAAATCATTGTCTCACTGCAAGAATGCAGGGATCATTTCATAACTCATTGCAATGTCAGGAATAAAAAAACTGAATAAAACCAGAGCAAATGGCTGAAAAATATTCCCAAATTCAGAAAGGAAGACCTAAAAATGAGCCTTTCCCACAAGTGCCATGATTGCTGTGCTGGACAGACAATGCCAGTGATCCCAGATCTATAATATATCAGCAATAATATCTGTCAAAATATATATCAACAATAATATCTATCTCTCTATCTCTCTCTCTCTCTATCTATCCATCTACCTACCTATCTATCTATCCATCTACCTACCTATCTATCTGTGTAATATCCTATCCTATCCTATATATAATAATTAATACAGATTATAGAGTATGCAATATTCTATACTGTATATACAGTATACTGTATATATATACTGTACTATATGCACAGTATATATATATTTATATATACCCACACATATAATACAGCATACAGAATAAAATAGCACATTCTACCACACATTACAAATAACAGATATTGTTACATGTTCTACATTGCACTAAATAATCTCATGTACATTATTATTATTATATGTTGTAATATTTTACAGCAACATAAGCATTGATATAACTTCTTAGGTCACTGCTATAATTTGTTAGGTACCCCACAGGCACCTGGCAGATGGGTTTAATCAACGTTTCTCGCTAATTCAATTTAAGGTACTCCAAGGATTGAATTTATGGAGAAACGGAGGGGGTGTGCCTGCTGCAGTGCACAGTTTGGCTGGAACTGGAGCTGGGCACGCCTCACCTGGGCACTGGGGATCTGCAGAGCCCCAGGGGTGATGGCTTGGGCGAGCACCTGGCCCTGCGCCGTCACCATCGTCACCGGCTGGTACAAGGCTCCACCTGCGGCAGAAAAACACACGTGGGGGTACCAAACACCCCGATGTCCCCCTGCCCAGCAGCTCCCCTGAGTCCTACCTGGCACGGCGGGCGAGCTGCTGCCGGTGCCCATGGCCAGGTTGCCCGGGGGCAGAGTGGCCGCGGGCACCACGATGCCCGCCGGGGGGTTGGCGGCCGGCGGCAGCGCTGCTGGAGAGCTCTGCAGCATCTCCTGCACAAACAAAACACCAAATCTGTCAATTGTAGCACGGACGTTTTCGGGTTTTGTCCCCCCTCTGCCCCTACAATTTTTATTTTTGTTGTTGTTAATTGGTGGTTCGGCGGGAAAGATCGAAAAATCGCAGGAAATGTGATTTTTTTTTGGTTTGTTGCAAGTGCAAAAAAAAGATGGAAAAAGAAAGGTTTATGCTCTGCAAAACCCCCATTTAGCATCATCCCCAAACTTCTTTTCTTTGTGCGGTCACTCTTCATTTAAAAAATATGAAAGGGGGAAAAAAAAGTCATGAGGGACCAAAAAACCAAAAGGAATTTATTTTATCCTTTTCTTTCGAAGCATTTCTCTTTTTTGGTGCTTTGACTGGGACTGGATGATGCAACCTTTGCTAAAATTCAGGGTGAGCACCACAGTTTCCCTTAGAGTAAAAAAACGAAGTGAATAATAACATAACCCCAGTGTTAAGATTCCTTGCAGCTTTAAGCTAACTTCTTGCAAAAATAGGCAACTTTTTGAGCCAAAAGCTGTAATTTTACTTTAAGGCCCATCTCTGGAGCAACCACCAAAAAACTCCATATAGGATGATTATTTATTTTAATATTTAAATGATTATTAGAGTATTTAATGTGACATTTTGGGAAGGGAGGAGTTCCAAAACTGAGGCTATGGGGGATTATGGGGCAATGTATCCCAAGCTTCCACGTGGGCAGGATTTTGCAAATAATATTGGCAATATTGATAAAATGATAATTTTAAACTAAACCAAAGATAACTACATCTTTCTAATTCACCCAACTGGAATGGAAATAAAACTGCACTTATTTTTTTTGTCTCTTTTCTACTGATGTTCCCATTCTGCATCACTTCCCTGGTGTCCAGCTGACTCTCAAAGTGCTGAGCATAATGTCAACAAAGGGGAATTTTTTTTCACCTGTTATTTCATCTTTTAATTCATTTTTCCTACATTTTAATGCATTTCTTCAAGAATCCTATTATTTGGGTTAAGAAAAGAGATCTTCCCTGGATTAGAAATGTGCAATGACACTGGAAAAGCCAACCAAGAAAATGTGATTGGGGTGGAAAAGCTGCAGCTCCTCCCTTTCTCCAGGTGATAAAAATCCAGAGATGGACTCTGAGTGCACCAAATCCACCCAGGTCACATCACCACGTGCCTGTGCTGTCCCATGGGGACTTGGGGTGCTCTGTGTCCCCTTCAATGCATTTCCCACTGCTTGGGGACAAAACCTGAGGTCTGTTCCCCTTTTCCCCTTCTCTCCATCACATTCATGGAGCTTTTTCCCCCATCAACCACCACTGCTTTGCCTGTGCCATCATTCTCAATAAATGCCATGCTTTTGCCATTAAAACCCTCTTATGGCACTTCCCCCTCCTGAGATGTCAATTCTAAAATGTTGGACCCAATGGATCTGCCACAAGTTACTTTTGGGATTTTTTCTTATTTGGAAATTTTGCTGCAATTGCTGTAAATTTTTCATTCGCTTCCCAGACATTCCTCTCCATAGCTGAATTAATTTTAAAAATGCAAATATGACTGTAAAATACTTGTACTTTTTTTTAGTATTCCTTCCCCACCTCCAGTCTTCTGGGGGATGTAGTTTTCTGTTTGAGACAAGAATATCTCTCAGGATATAGAGAGCAAAAACCAATCACTTTTGCACACTCTTGGATTTGGCCCTGGCAAAGGATCCAGCTGATAAATACAGTGGAAATATTTATAAAAAACCAAATGTGGTCCAGGAGAACATCAAATAGCAGCTGGATATAGCAGATGCAACCAGAAGTTTGGAGCAATTTGAAGACCTCTAGCTTTTCTTCCTTGCCTTGTTTTTCCATGATTCTCCCTAAAGAAGGGTATCCAGAACACCATTTTTGGAAGTGCATTGGGAAGAAGCAATTTGGAATATCAGAAAACAGGAACAAGAAACTGCTGTTTCCAGATACACTGGTCAAAGCCATTTTCAACAGTATTTAGTGATGTAAAAATGGCCTTTGTTTTTGTGGTGTAGAGGAAAACTCCACCAAAACACCATCCCACTGGTGTCCAAAAAGGCAGAATATTGGTAATTATTACAAAGAGTCACTCAAGGAATTAATGATCTTTCTGCAACAGAACTGTGAAACCAAAGTGACCCAATGGAAGTGGAAGCTCCACCTTCAAATAAATATAGGGAGATATCTCCAAGAAGATTTAAAAATATATATTTTTCATACCAATTGCCTCAGATTGCAAATGTCAGCCAAATTCTTTTAGGCTTGGCGGTTTTGCTGCAGTGGAAAATGTTTTATATATTTTTTTTATTTTGAGACTCTAGGAAGTTCATGGAATCACAGAATGGTTTGGGTTGAAATGGACCTTAAAGCTCATTTTGATCCACCCCCTGCCATGGCAGGGACACCTTCCACTGTCCCAGGTTGATCCAAGCCCTGTCCAGCCTGGCCTTGGACACTTCCAGGGATCCAGGGGCAGCCACAGCTGCTCTGGGCACCCTGTGCTGGTGGTGCACCACCCTCAAGTTGAAATGCTTTTGGCAAATTTGAAATCTGAGTGTGGGAAAAAATGCATCACTAGGTGTCTCTGCAGACCCACATCTCAGCACTGATCAACAGCAAAACAAGATTTCTCCCAATTAAAAGTCACATCAGTGAATGAAAAAAATCTGTGACATAACACAAAAAACATCCCTTTTTTACAATTAGGAAAGTGCCAAATTGTAAGTGCTAAAATTCAGTGCCACTTGAGCTGCTGTCCTTGCCCTTGTGCTTTATGACACATTTGTTTTTGGGTGGTGCACCATGTGTCAAAATGTCTGTCTCATCCTAACTCTGAAAAATTACTTGTGCTGGGGGAAATTTGGATTAGTTGGAAGAAAAAAAAAAAGAAACCCATGGGTTTTCCAAGAAAGAGCTGGCCAAACTCAAAGCCATGTATGAGAATTCATGAGGCTCCTTTGTGAATGGATGGGTGTGTGGAGATGAGAAAAAAGTTGACTTTAAATAAAGAGAAATCCAGGGCTGATCACAGGGTAAACTTGGATAAATGATAAATAATATAGAGAAGCACTGCATTGGGTCCCACCAAACCAAATGTCCACCTCCAGCCACCAGCAGCCTGGGCCAGTGGAAGGTGTCCTGGCCATGGCAGGACAAGATGTGCTTCAAGGTCCCTTCCAACCCACCCCATTCTGTGATTCTGTGGAGAAGTAAGCTGAGAAGGAACACTGTCCTGAAAATGCCCATTCAAACACTGCCAATCTGAAATGAGAGCTGAAAAAAACCAAAATGTGATTCCATTTAAAAGTCCCAATGTGATTGGTTTTGCAACTGTTTTGTTCTTGCAAGTGGAGAACAATGAGGACCCTTTTGATGTCAAAGGAAAGTTGAAGTTAAATATTGATTTAAATTGGTTTCTTCCCTCTTCCATGAAAGAAGGACTTCCCCTCTCCCATCCTGGTCAGAAAAAGGTAAAAAATACTCATTAAATAAAGGGAGGGAGCGAAAAAGGACCTGATGAGGACTTGAGGTAGAAGAATGAAGCCAAGTGAAAAGCAACCAACAGAAATAGAAGAGGAATTATTTCTTGGTGGACTTGCAGGACAAAGAGACAACTCAATCACAAGACAAAGCAAAGCACAAAACGAGGAAGCAATGGAGAAAGGAGGGTGCAAAAATCTTTGTAAGGCAATGAAAGTTCAGGGAAGACTCATCACATGGGAAAGCCCCAAACTTGTCACTCAAACTTGGCCAACACCAGGAATCATCTCTGGACCTTGAGAAGATTTCAGCAACAGTCAAAACACCTTGTCTGAGTCTTCTCTCATCTCCCCATCATCTCAGGCATTTTGCATCTCCAAAAATTCTAGCATTTTCCATCTTAGAAAGCAGAAATAGCAGCAGGCGAAGGACCATCTCTTTTGGATACACCAGGGAAATCAGATTGTCCTGTGATGACATTTTGACAGGTCCAGACATTGTCGTGGTTGATATCCCTGTTATTGTGTGTTTAAACATGTCCTGTGGTAAAAAACTTAGCCAAAACCTGAAATATTTCACTTTCATGACAACTTGGTGTACCTCAACACAAAATGATTGATACTCCTTCCAAACCCTAAGAACACCTATTTGCTGTGAAACCTCCTTCATTGATACTAATTACATTTCATTATGTAGATTTTTTTTAAATCCTGAATTAATGGCCTGTTTGCTTTTGCACCTCCCCTCAGCATGAAACCAACAGGCTGGTAATTGGAGGAATCACCCCACTTGCCATTTTTTAAACACCAATCCCACAGTTTTTCAGCTCTCTGGAGAATCCTTGGCCTCCAAAACTCAACTGATGGATATAGAGTATTTTGACCCTTTTTTATCCATGCCAACTCAAGTACACTCAATGAGTTGAAGCACTCAAGCACTTGACATGGTGTAGTTGGAAAATATTTGCCATTGTATTGTCACTGGTGTGTCACCCTGACCAGATGAGATGGTGGCTCCATCGTGGTCCATCACTGTGAATATTTCACCTCCACCTGCTGAAAATCCCTCAGGGGCTGAGCCAACATTTCCCCTCCAGTTGGGTCTTTCCTGGGTTTGCTCCCATTTATTTCACAACTGCCTCCAAATCCTCACTTGAATTCCTCAACTTTCAGGTCTGGCCCAGAAGGGAAATGTCAGCAGCTCTGGGTTTCCAGGAATCAGAAGCCCTTGGTACCTCTCCATGGGCCTGATTATTTTCCAAAGACTTGTGCTAATTTTCTGATATGATCCCCACCTCTTTGTGAGACACTAAATCCTCATTACTTTTCCTGACCGATGCATTCTAATTAGATCAACACTTTAAAAAAAAAAAAAAAAAAAAAAAAAAAAAAAAAAAATTTAAAAAAAAAAAAAAAAAGGAAGGAGGGGAAAAAAATTCACAATAGCCACAGGACGGCTTTCCATCTCATTAACTCCCTCACTTATTATTTTCATGAAAATTACTGATAAAAAACGTGCATCTCCATTTGCTGGGACCAGGAGCTTTGTCGGCTCATATCTAACATCTCTCTCATCACCCGGGATGTGAGCTGTTGCCATGGCAATGCACAATAATAGAAACTAATAAATTACAAACGAGATGCTCGTTGAGCAATTATTGTTCTCTTTTATGCAAGTGTCTTGCTAATTTTGATCATAAGGAATGCTTCCATAAAGCAGCGAAGGGATAATAAGTCTATTTCTAGAGATTATTAGAATATAGAGTGAGGATGGGGTTTCTTAGATCAATGATTAAGTGGTTTGGTGCTTTCAGGGAACCTAAACAAGAAACTGAACTTTTCTGGGGGGCTTTTCCCTCATCATGTTGGGAGCTTCAAACTCTGCAGCTCCTGGAGCTGAGCTGCTAAAAAATGGCATTTTTTCCTTTCCTTAATGATGCCCCAAAAGCCTTAAGAAGGCTCCACCACCTGCTTCCTTTTTAGGGAGAGCTCCAGGAGCTGCCTAGCTTATTTTGGGTTTGCTGCAGTTTTTTTCTGGTGGGATTGTGCAACCCTAAATTCAATCTTCCTACCCCAAAAACCAAGTGCCTGAGAGAGAGAAATGACTTAGGGGAACGCAATCTAGCATCAAGTTTTTTGGGGTGCAACCAGCCAAGATTTATCCCCTGCACTGCAGATGCACATGAAAACCCCAACCCATGGGGAACTTCTTTTCTGAATATTGAGTTACAGTCATTTATTTTGCCCCAAAAGCCATCAGGATTCTACTTTTTTGGCTACTTCAGTTGATATTTCTGCAGTTCTCAGGCATTTCCTTGTACTCTTCCACTATTTGTCTTCTTCTCCCAGGTAAAATCCAAATTATGCAAAAGAAGAAGCAAAAAGAATGTTGATCATGCTGGGGGAGAAGTGCAAGATCTGCTGAAACACAAAAAGGAGCAGCAAAGACAGAAACGGTTACCTGAGACCCAAAAATCCTTTGAGCTGCCTTAAAAAAAATGTGAGAAAGAAGCAGTAGAGCAAATCCTGATGTTTCTCTCCTTCCTGCCAATAACTAGCATGTTTTCATTAAAAAATGCAACTTTCTCGTTTATATTCCCGTACACTTGCACAGCTCCCCTGCCCTCACATTTAATTGCTGCAGCATTAGAGTTTAGGAGTCCTTCACTCTCTCTCTTGCAGAGCCACAAATATTGAGGTTGCAGCTCTGCCAACCCATGAAAAAAAGGACATAAAAAAATTTAAAATAAAGGGGAAAAAAGTCACCACAACATCATTTATTGCACTCTATGAAACAGGCACAGGATTTTTTTTTTTTTCATTCTTGGGGATGCACTCCAGTGAGTTTTCAGGAGGCCACAACTCTTGCAGAGCAAGTCTGAAATCTCGTTGGCAGCTCCCCGTTGGCCGAAGCGCGGCCATGGGAATCAGAGAGGAATTTGAAGGCATTACCTGGGGGTGGAGGCTGATGGAGGAGGGGTTGGGGGAGTAGGGCCCCCCCAGGTCGTTCCTGAGTAGGTTGTCGCTGTGCATCTTGGTTTTGAGGCAGGTGATGTAACGGTTGCAAAAGTCCTTGCACAACTCATTGACCTTCTCCAGCTCCAGCAGGTGGATGCGCAGCACCTGGATCGCCTTCACCATCTACGCGAGGGCACAAAGTTAAAATCAATATTCTCCTCCAAAATCTAGCGTGGAACTGATCCCCTACAGCAGAATGAAATTCATTTCCTTTCTCAACACGCACAGTAAATGAATATTCTTGCCCGAAACCCATCCCAGAGCCCAGCCCTCTGCATATCTGCATTCCTTTCCCTTGCCCATCAACCGTAACCCTGAGATCCGAGAGGAAAAAATTCACCAAATTCACCATTGCCTTCGTGGGAATTGCTCCCCATGCCCCAAAAAAAGAAGTACAAGCCAAACCTCTCATTGTTGAGAAGTGTTTGGTTATTCTCTGGAGGCCACTTCTTCTAACAAGATTACGGGGCTGCAACTCAGCCGTGAGCTGTTGCTGGTGCAAAGCCTGGGCCTCATTAAAACGTACCCCATAAACCTTAAAAAATTTACACATAAAACATTCCTCTCACCGAGCTGAAACCTTAAGTTTTACAGCCGCTGTTTGAAATCTTGCATAATATATAAAATTTCAGCTATTCACTCCGGGGCAATAAATCCGGTTTTATGTAACAAAGCGTCTTTGCATTTCAAAGAGTGTTTTTAACTTGCAAATTTTAGTGGTCATCTTTACAAACTGCAAGTTGCCATGGCTGGGAAACATCCTGAAAAATCCAGAGCCAAACTCCAGTGGTAGCTCCATGACAGAGAAAGTGAATTTTTGGTTGGTGAACAACAGGGATGATGGGTTGAGCTGGAAAAATCTTTTATTTATGGCTTTTTTTTTTTTCTTTTTTCTTTTTTTTTTTTCTGTTCTTTTTTTTCCTCCTCTGCAGTTGACACAGGCAAAGCACAAGGTGGAGGTGTCGTGCCCAGGATTCCCGCATCCTCCCAGGGCTCACTGGCCATGAAAGTCAATATTCAAGGGCAAAGGCAAGAAGACCTGACACATATATGTAAAAAAATAAATCTCTCAATTATCTCAGCTCATTTGCTTAGGGTCTCATTTTATGTCCCTGCTCCGCTGCGTCGTATATCTGTCCGGATAAAGAGTTACAGTCCGATGGCGTACGTGCGCGGGGTTGTAAAAAATACAGATGCTGAATTAATTGACTGTGTGGCACTCGGCAGCTGATTGAGTTGATAATGGTGAGATCTGACCTTTTTCTAATTTCTAATTATGTGCATCTTGGCAGCGAGGAATACATGACTCTTATTCTAATGATAGCTAATGCCACTGGCCTTTTCAGCCCTGCTGTGCCATCACCAATTCCTGGCAAACGGGTGGTGTCAATAAAAAAGAAAAAGAAAAACCAAGAAATAACAACAAAAAAGGATAACGTATATAGGGGGAAAGTGTCAGCTCAAGAGCAGGTTGTAATGTTGAGTTTTGAGCACTGCAAGTTTTTTAACCCAAAATTCCCTTCTCCTACTGCCTCCCACCAACAGGAATGTGCTTCTCCAGCATCATATCAACCATCTCCTCTGTCTTGATGCAGGTTACCCACACTGAGGTGCATGGTTCCTCCTTTTTTGGTGCATTGGGCATTCTGGGCATTGGGTACATGAAAAATATACATCCAGCTATGTACTAGAACTGGAGCAAACTCAGAGATACAGATACACAGAAAGACATTGCAACAGATATAGAAAAATATGAATGTGAATGTATCAAGTGCTGTAAGATTATACATGGGATCAACTGGGATCAATCCAACTGCCCATGGCCAAATTTACCTTGGCAGCAAGAGTTGCTTCAGAATGTGCCTAAAAACCATGTGATGTGGGGTTTTTTTTAGGAACCACACAAAACCTGAAAATAGCCAGTGGGGATACACTTCCTGCACTGACTATTTGCTGGTGATGTTTCATCTCTATATGTACACAAATAGGTTTACCTTTCCCAAAATTTTAGATTTTTTTTTTCTTCACCTGGCTCTATTTCTCTCCTGCTAGACCATTACACCCATTTTTATGCACGTTAATCCAATGGGGGTTTGCTGGTTCACCTCAGCGTTTGTCCAGTCCAAAAACTGAAATTATCCAAAACATTGGTTGGGTTATTTGGTTTATTTTTGGGTTTTTTTGATTGCTTATCTCAGAGCAATTTCTGTTCTTGACTACAAATTATTGCAAAATAGGTTTAGCAATATGCAAAAGGGGCTTTGCCTGGCCTGCAAATTTATTGGAGGGCATTCCACAGACTCTTGGCTTAGGGATGTTAAAAAACTCTTCTCCACAAGCTGAAATCAGGCACAAACATGTGGGATTTTACTTCACCTTGAAATCCTCTCTTGCTTTTTAAAAAACCCAGTAGTTCTTGCTCCTAGATGAGTTTTTCTTCTCTTTGTGATATGCCATCATTCAAAATCACCTCCTTGATATCTGCACAACTTAGAAAAAGCAGCCTGTGAATTGCCTGATTTTGCTTCTTTTTTTGGATGGAAATCCCTCTGCTCCAAGTCCCAGGGGACACATAACCCCTCAGGGAGGGTGTTTTGCTGTTTGCATCATCAGACGTGCACAGAATTCCCTCTTCAGACCTTGAAAATCTGCTTGTGGAGCATCAGGATGGTGCCACGAATTTGTTTACCCACGTTTGCCATGGAGACCACATCTGGATGCTTTCTGGACAAATTAACAGGACTTGGGGACATTTCCTGAGGTCCACAAAAGAGAAATCCAAAGCAGAGTCTTCTGAAGCACCACCCAGCAGCAGTGGATGCAGTAGGAAATTTGAGTTGATCTGGCAAGGAATCCACCAAAACCAGTCCAAGTGTTCCAAATTGTTGATATCCATCACCTTATGGAAAAAGTTATCATTCTGCCCTGCTTCTAGGACATGAGCTGGCCATGAGACTTCAAACCAGATGGTGCCAGGTGAGCATGCTGACACTACTGCACGTTGCACTGAGGAGCAGTAATTCCTGCAGAGACTGCAAGTTTTGGGGCACAAACCAGTGTCCTGGCTTGTAAGATCAGCATGTATTCTATCTGCCATCTGTTGGAGGTTGGGCAGTTTTCTTATCTCTCCCAAGAGCAATGTCTCCTTCCGGGGAGATATCTTCTGTTCATGGGCCATTAATGACTCACTTCATGGTGGGAAAGTTCCATCATCCCATGGGAGATGCTCCGCCCAGAGGGAGGAGCCAAGCAGCCCTACCTGCATAAAATCAGCATTTTTGGGACATCAGAGCAGCCCTTTGCTGGATTCCCAGAGGAGCAGCTTTCTTCTCTGCTGGATTCCCAGAGGAAGACCAGGCCCATCTACTCCATCACCAGACCTTCAGAGAAAACTCCACCCTTCTACAGGATCACCACGTCAGCATCATTTCATCTGCCACTCCAGGAGAAGCAGCCACCATTGAACTGGACTATTCCCAACACCCTGACTCCTCGGGGTGTCAGGTTTCTGACTCTATCACTAGTTTTGTTTGTACTAATTACTTTTTTTTCTTTATTTTTATTTAGTTTTTTTCCTAGTAAAGAACTGTTATTCCCATTCCCAAATCTTTGCCTTGAGAGCCTTTTAATTTTGAAATTGTGGTAATTCAGAGGGAGGGGGTTTGCCTTTTCCATTTCACAGGAGGCTCTTGCCTTCCTTCCCAGACTCCTGTCTATTCAAACCAAGACAACCAGCCAGCAACTTCAGCTGTTTTCAAGAACCTCATTGACCCCATGGAGGTTGTGTGGGACAACGAGCCAAATGGGGGCAGGGGTGTTGTTCTTACAGGGGAATCTTCTGGAAAATGTCTCAGAGAAGGTCCTGAAGAAGGTCTCACAAGGTCTGTGGCATTGCCAAGATGACGAGCACTACAGAGCCCAGAGACATGGTGGTAGATCTTCATTTGTTCCTCACCCCCTACCTTTTCAACACCCCCCCAAAAATCATCTGCCAAGCCCCAGCTGCCTATACCAGGTTGTCCAGCTCGGGGTCGTCACTGAAGAAGGGCTTGTGTTCCTGCTCCTGCTGGTGGACAAAGTTCTCGATGTCGACATCGAAGCTGGCCGAGGTGATGCACTCAGAGCCCTGCGTCGCCTGCTCACACTTCTCAAAGAGCAACGTCAGCAGTGGGAACAGCGGGTGCCTGCAGAGGACAAAGGAGACCACCCATAATGCCCCCTGTTTTGGATCCCATGTCCATCTTTACCCATCCATCTGTCCATCCATCCATCCATCCATCCATCCATCCATCCATCATCCATCCATCCACCATCCATCCATCATCCATCATCCATCATCCATCCATCATCCATCATCCATCATCCATCATCCATCATCCATCCATCCATCATCCATCATCCATCATCCATCCATCCATCCATC